TTAGGGCACACAACACCGAAATACATAGGATGAGCAGGAGTACAGGGTTAGTGTTGCTACCGGGTGTGCGAGGGATGTGGAGAGCCTGGAACAATCTCAGCATCTGTGTATTTTAGAGAGGGGTGAGCCTGTGATCAATGTGGAAACTACCACTTTGCAGGTAGAGCGGTTGTGAGTAGGGTTGCAAGAGTTTGAGGTTTTCACTGTATGTTAACCGTCTCAGGAAATATCACAGTTTCAGTGTGTATAGTATTAAATTATTATTATTATCAGACCCTTACAGTAATTAACACAGAAGTTTTATTATAATTTAACAAAATATTATGTCCTAGTAGACATAAAACATGATTTAAACGTAACATATGTATTTATAACAACACTAATACAGTACAATTCAGTATAGTTTTTAAATATCACTAATAAGTAAGAATTAAAATCCACAGATAAGCAAATGTATGGATTAGATAATGGTCCATAATGGTCCATTTTCATGCTATGTTATTACTGCTGCAGAAAAAAAAAACGCAGGACAAAACAGAGGCTATTGTACAGAAAGTAAATTTCTCCCCACTGATTGGCGTTCTCTCCCCAGGTAACATGGCGAAGAATAAACAAAAAGGGAAAAAACAGAAGAGCGTCTTTCAAGTTGCAAACAAGCACTCGAAGCACAAGAACAAAGCGAAACCTGTCACGACAACACTCAAACACGTAAGATTGCTTTTTCTTACATGTATTTTGTATTCCCTCTTTTGTACGTTGTTGTTTGCTGCGCCTGCTCTAGCATAATTTGTGGCTTCACAGATCAATGCGGTGAAAAATGAGAAGGTGGAGAACCTCAATCAAATCTTCACAGAAGTCCAGAGGGATGTTAAGAGCGTTTCGAAGTCTGTTGCTCCCGAACCGAAGAAACAAACACAGGTAGAGGTGTAAATTGAAAACCCTCATTCATCGTCCAACGTTTTAATTCTCTTGGTATGATTAATAATTATTGTTTTTTTTCTCTTTGCTAGGTTGTCAGAGAGCCACCAAAGGAATCTGTAAATGTTGACAATGCGGCTCAACTCTTCTCTCAGTTATAATGGACATTGAAAGTGGGACTGTCATAAAGAACACAGTGACCGACTGTTGTACTGTATGTGTGTCCACATCGGACACATGAAAGTCAATTTACTTCCAATGCATTTTGAAATTTCATGCCAAACTGGGGACTGCAGATAAGTTGGAAAATAGAAGAAGTTATTCTTATTGCATGATATATAGATCTGTTTATTCAGTGCCGATAAATATGATCAATTGACAGAGTTGTCAGTTATTATTGATATTGTTTCAGGAACATAGGATTTCTGTTTTGTATTGGTTATATTCTTTTGTGTAGAAATGTTTGCTTCTCTTCAGGCTGCAACTAATGATTCTTATCGATTAACCTGCTGATAATTTTCTTGATTATTTGATGACTCCTTTAGTTATGAAATATCAGTAGTAAAATAGTAAAGAATAGTAAAAAATTGCCCATTATAATTTCACAGAATCCAACTTCAAATCATTTGCTTTTTTCTGACCAACAGTGTAAACCCCCCCCCCCCAAATAACATCACCAAAACCCTGAATTTGAGTAAATCGAGAATATTTGGCATTTTTGCTTATAAATTGGCTGGAACGATTAATCGATTACCAAATGAGTTGCTAATTGGTTCTCTTGAACAGTTGATTAAGCAACTGGTTGTTATTAGCTGTACTCTCTTTACTTAAAAGTGTTGATAAGGGTGCCCTGTTCATCATCTTAAATCTGTATCTAATAATGTTATTTTGAACAAAACAATTATATAACCATGTGCACTTTATCATACCCTCTCTGAGTTTGGTTTTGTCAGGCAGTTCAAGGTTTTTCACACCTTTTTGCATGTGTTTAATGCTTTGGATTTAGTGTAAATGAAGTCACAAAGGAGGTCACTGCTGTGATGAAAGCAGTTGCTTCAAAGTGTTTTGTTACCAATGGTTCTTATGGAAATATTTCATGTAGAAATTGTCATCAACTGTCAACAAAACAATCAGAATTTAAAGGAGAAATCACATGTAGCATCATTAAATTGTAAAAAATAAAGTGGTGTTGCTGTACTGGACTGAATCATATTATCAGGTATATACAAGCTCTATTTCAGGGCTTCACACTATCACTTCTATTAAGAGTGCACCTGAAGATGAAGTATAGATTTTCCGGCTCCACCTGCGAGCAGCGAGCCGTTATCAGTATGCTGCTGCTGCAACCTGCTGTAGCAGCTTGACATCAGAGGTCATTGGTACCAGAGCCTGGCTGATTGCTTGTCTCTGTGGCGACCTCTGACTCAGTTAGTTGGTCAATAAATCTGAACAAGGTGAAAGCACAAATGAGAATGGTAAACAAACGAACACATGACTGTTGACATTAAAAAGCTAAGAATGAGATTTTCAAGGTGGCAACGAATAAGGATGTATTAACCTAAACCCGCAATAACCGATATTGTCGACCACTCAGCTGTAACATTAACACCTTATGATGAACTTGTTAGCAAACAGTTGCTTATTAATTGTACACAGTTACACATGAGCATTAATTTGGAGTCATGTTTGTGGCCCTGATCAACAGTCATCATTTAGTTCTATTTGATCTCCTCACCTCTGAGGGAAATATCTGACTTTTAGCTGATACATAAACAGCTATCTGTTCACAACTAATAGCTAAAGTTGTAGTCTGACTGAGAGGCAAATGTAGCGTATAGCTGTTATTTATTTGTTGCAATGAGAACACCTGCTAGACTAGAATTTCACCTGAAATTAAACATTTTGAATGAGAGTGGCAGACCATACAAAATATGGCGAAGCCATAAACAAAAACAATTCATATTTGTAATATGATTGATTAAAAAAAAGATGCATTCGAGCGCTCAAAGCGGCTCGCCCGCGAAAAGTTCTTTCTTGATATGTGTCTCGTGGGTTCATCTATATGAGTGACACTTTTAAAGCAAGTCATATATAGATAGGCTAGAATATTGATTGAGGAGCAGCTTTAAAGGGTCCAGTGTGTAACATTTAAGAGGATACTAGTTGCAGAGAATGAATATAATATTAAATAGGTTGTTTTCAATTAGAGCATAATCAAGGACAATAAGAATGTATGTTGTTTATGTTACCTTGAGAGAGTGAAAGCTTGTTTCATCTACAGGGAGTGGGTCTGTCTCTACGGAGTCTGCCCTGTTTCTACGAGTAGCCAGACGCACGGACAGACACCTAACAGCCGCATCTAGAAAGGCCTTATCACGTTTTTTGTTTTTTGTGAGTTTGATGCAGCCACCTATAGTTTGCTACAAGTGCCAGAAGGAGAGGGAGGCAAGGGCATTTTAAACTTTGATCCACACACCTGGAGTATGAACATTATATTCACAATCAGAATGCTGCTG